GCATCACAAAGATAAGATTTTAAAGAGTTGTCAAGTGTTGCAGTTTTTTTTAATTTTACGATATTCTTAAAGGTAAAATTTCTCATTTAAAATTGTCAATTTAATCGTTAATAATCACTAATTGAATCACAACATCGAATTCAGCAGATACAGAGGGCCTACACAAAGCATACATATCTATTATAAACAAAATTTGACTTTGCAGCATCAAATTTATTTTATAATACATCAAATTTTCTCTCAGTCATTGTATGTCTACCGATTGTTATACATCTTTGATTTCTAAATTTCCGTTCTGAATAGTATCATATTGAGAGTAATTTAAATTACTATTTGTGACTAAAATTATTGTACACAATCACAGTGACTGATTCTAAAATATTGACGAACATTTTTATCTAAGTGCGATTTTATACCATCATGACCAATTTGGTGAGTTATCAGAGTTATTATCAGACGCTTTTTGCTTAATTTTTATATATTAGGAGGTTGCATTAAAAGCTGCTGTTCACGTTTAAATGACTCTAGCTGCATATGCTGTTGTCAGAGACATCTGTTACTTCTGTCATTTTGAAGTATGAACATTTCCCACTAAAATTCAGTCAATAGACGCCATTCTTATTTACGCATGCTTTTCTATATTTGATGCAAAAACGATCATCAATTGTATCAAATCAACGAAAAATGATTCTTTGTCCTGACATATCCATGATAACGCTCGGCCTCCATGTTGTTATAAATACTGATGGATCTCGAATGGGAGATTCTTCCGCACCCACGTATTCTCTGGACTTAGCACCAAGTGATTATCATCTGTTCCGATTGATGCAACACGCTCTGGAAGATACACACTTCCGTAATTCTAGCAAAGTCGAAAATTGGGTTACTGAATGGATTGACTCAAAAGACAGATCATTCTTTCGTCGCAGAATTTAACTTCGGCCAGAAAAGTGGCAAAAAGTCATAGCTTCCGAGGAAAAATGATATTGAGGTATTCATATATTTTATTATTGAAATTAACGTTCAAATACAAAAAAAAAACAGCGGCTTTTAATGCAACCTCCTAACATAATTTTTCTATTTTTTTTTTTAACAATCAATCTTTCGTTAGAACTTCGTGAGATTCTCAACAATAGATTTTCCAACTGTTTGCGAGTAATTTCCGTTCCTGTGTGAATCACTCATCTGTTCGAACATAACGAAACATTATAGTACATCTGTATCACGGATAATTCATTATAGTACCTATCACCTTGTTTAACGATTTTACTGTTCAATCTTTCTGTAACATCTGAAGATGGTTCGATATTGCAGCCGAAACATGTAATGTAATGTATTGAAATAATTTATTATATATTTTTGTAATTTGCGAAATGTGTATTTGACTCTTACATGTATTTTGTGATTCAGTTAATGATTTTTTAAACTAAGAGTCCTATATGATTTATTAGTTATTAATCGTTAATAATAAATGCAAGTAAATGTATAGAAACATATGTTTATTAATCTAATAATATGTTATTATATATATTACAGATAAATTTCATTTCTATTGTGTAAAATTCATATCTAATAAAAAAATATAACACTTTTGTATAATTCCTAAGCTTTTATCAAATCTAATTTCGAGTTCATTGCGTCTTTTTCTTTTTGTTTTCGATCGACGTCCGCTAAAAAGTCTAATATCAAACGCATTACGCTCTCTGGAACAATCCTGAAGAAGAAATTAAACGTTTTATCATGCAATATAATCAGAAGTAAACGTTTATGGATTATATATAAAGCAATATAAAATGTTAAATAAATGTGATCAAACAGATAATAATTGCACGATATCGGTATGTACCTGTTGATTGCATTTAAAGAAAAAAGACATCGCGGAATTGAATATTCCGTATAGTTTCTTCGAATTGCTTTAATTATTTCACGGGCGGCATATTCTGGCGTTACAACACCAAAGATATAAGGAAACCTGCAATTCATTCTACATAAATTAAAGTTCATTTTTAATCTATTAATTATTAATATCATAAATATAAAACAAGTAATTTTCATCATGCGCAGATTATAATGCGTAAAAAAGGTATCGTCATACAATATTATAGAAATAAGAAAACTCGTTTTTTTTAAATACTTTTTCTTATTAACTCACACTTAAAGTAATCAAATTCTATAATCAACATTTTATTTTGTATTTAATTAAATTTGTATTTCGAAAGTGTATAAGTTTCTATCTGCTATGAAAAAAGAGAGGCGTAATAAAGTTTTCTAACAATAAGTACATCAAGATATTTTAAATCCATGTAACCTTAACCGTTTCCTTTTAATATAATGTTAAATATATAAAAACTAGAAATTGCGTCGAAGATAGTGAATCATAGGTGCAATAATTTTTTTCTAATCTCATTATTACTTCATGGATCAGACCGTTCCACTTACTGGGCGCTAATTACATTCCATGCAATTACGCTATATTGCAGTGGATAAAGACGACTCGTTTCGTAAATACAATGTTCGCGTGCGAATTACCGCGACCAGGCCGGAAGATGTCTGCGCGGAAACGCTATTTCATCATGAATATCGTCGATGTATACTCGTTTAAAAAATACTCGTTTAATTGATAGCATGATGAGTACAATCCCATGATAAGTGAGATATAATTACATTACGTGTATATTAAATTTGTACGTTTTTTTTTGCTATAATGTCTTACAAAACGTAGCGTCTATTATTAATTCAATCCTAAGTGTTTTCACCTGTATTTGGGATCCTTCGCTAATCCTGTATCAACGTAAAATGGATATATCGTTGTGAAATGAATATTAGGTTTCTTTTCATCTAATCGTACTTCCTCGTGAAGAGCCTCCATAAGACCTAAAATCAAATTTATTAAAATTCTATTACAAATAAATAAAATTTTGACAAAATACCTCTCACAGCAAATTTTGATGAGCAATATGCCACCTTTTGCGACACTCCATAAATGCCACACATGCTACTTATCGCTACTATGTGACCGCTTCCTTTCATCAACATCATAGGTAAAAATGCTTCTATCGTCTATATAAAATAAAAAAGAATTATTAGCGTTATCTTATACCTCAATAAAATTGTTCCCCAATTAGTTTTCTTAAAAAGAAAACTTAATAAATTCCTGATTTAAGTAATAAGAATATTACGTAATCTAATTAAATTTAAAAAGTGTGTGTGCATTGTTATTAATAAGCGGAACTTGTACAAAATAATTTTGAAACTATCCATATTTAAAATGCATTTAAAATGTCTAATAAATATTCAATAATTACACACACACATAAATATTTATAGATGATAGTTTAACGATATATGTAAGTGCATACCCAAAAATTCGAAAGTACGTTAACGTTAAATGTCTTTTCCACGTCGTCCGGATCAAAATTTAGATACGGCTTATGATATAATACAGCCGCATTGTTAATAAGCATTGTCACATCCGGCACATCAATCTTTCTCATTAATCTCACTGTTTCGCGCACCTCCAATCTCTTCGAGACATCGACCACAAAACCGTAAACCTAAAAACAGTTATATACATGTCTTTCTGACAACATCAAATTGTATCTCTTCCAAAAAATTGTATTTAAAAAAAACAAAATGCAATTTAAATGAAAATTAAATATATACACCTCTCCGCCATTTTTCGACACTTCTCTCATTGTCGATCGATTACTATCAATATCGTTGTCCCAACAAACAATTATACAACCCATCGAAGACAATTGGATCGCTAATTCGCGGCCAAGTCCATGACCGGCTCCAGTAATCTAATTTCGATGCAAATAAAACACAGTTTAAAAAAGATGTAAGGATTTAAGGTATTAAGGATAAGATATTAAAGATATTAAGGATTTAAAATCATTGTAACTTTCCTTCAGTTTGAAAAAATCAAAACAAGCTTACAAGAACAGTTTCTCCTATTAAACGTTTCGTGGAACATGGTACAATCATTCTGAAAGTTGCCATTATCATCGCCAGACCTATCTTCACCGACAAGAGAGAAAGATCCAAAAATAATCGATGCAATTTAATGTCTTTGAAAATACGCTGGATAATCTTCATTTTGGAAGAGTTCACAAAGATATACCTAAATATGTCAGGTTTGATAATAAATAAAAAGAGATAAAATTATCATCATTAATCATCATTAGAATCGTTTCGTTAATTAAAAATTTCACATTTAATTGTATATTAAAAAAGAAAAGAATTTCTTCATGATAATAAAATTACTTTAATGGTAACGATTGCGATTTCTTAGAGAACATCTAAAAATAGGAATAAAATCTAAAAATTTCTAAATAAAAATAATAAAATGAATGGAAAAATCCGTTCGCGTAAATCTCGCAAACCCACTACTATTTTGTGACGCAAGTTTCAGCAGACCGTAATGTTCGCCGATCACTTTCCTTCCTACTGCGAAACAACGTTGGTGGGGTGACCACCAGTTCATAAGAATCCTGAAAGTGTTGTTAAGAATATACGTAGTATTAAGAACACTGTGTCACCAGATTAATGACAGTTCGTAGCCATGACATCGATACATTATATATCGCAAATCGATTCGGAATTTATTCGTAAATTATCAGTAAATTTATTACTCCTTTTTTTAAAATTGTAGGAAAAAATAAGATCCAAAAGAATGACAAATCACATTTGAACAATTTGGTCACATGACTAATGCAATTAGTCAATTCTTTTTTCAAATTTACATAATTGAAAATTTGTCACAAGCGCCTGCTTTGTTTCTGAGTAATTTCGATACTCTGATAGTGCTTTATTGTTTTCTCGTAAGTATAAAATATTATTGATCTTTGCAGCCATGTTTGCAGCTGTCAAAGAATGCTTGGTTACTCGACTATGCAGAAAACGCACTTGATTTCTTTCTTTCTCTTTATACTACAAACCGCAAAATAGCTACGCAAACATTTGATCGAAAGATTTTATCTTGTGGTGTAAGAACCGAGATGCAGAGAATGAGAGAGATCTTAAGGCATCCAAAACTGAGAAGATTTAAGACGAGATGGCAGATTTTTATGTGGAAAGCCGTGCTTATGAGGCTGCATAGCCCTATAACCACTGCACTGGAGATAATTATAGCCATTGTCTTTTCGTTACAAATACGTTTGATATTTGAACCGCATGCTCTTCATTCGCAGGTAGTTTAACTAGCAATTGTAAGGTTGGATTAGATATATTTACCTTGAGACTATATAATATACAACTTAATGCTTATTTTTAATAATTTCTCCATTAGAATTTTTTTTATTCATTTTGTTAATTGATATCGAAATTATACAACTATTATGACCAACAGTTATGTAAAGAACTAATAAGAGTCAAATAATTAATATGCAAAAATTTTTCTAAAAATGAGCTATATTTTAATTATATACTGATTAAAATTTACAATAAACGCGCGCATAAATATGCATAAATATGCATATTAATATTGCATATTAATTATTTGACTCTTATTAGTCCTTTACATAACTGTTGGTTATTTATATTAAAAGTCCTTGTATTCAAATTAATTTTATATCTATTATGATTCTAGAAATCTCTTTTAGAAATCTCGTCTAGACATCTGTTTTATTAGATATCAGATTGCACTGCAGTATAATTGATAGAATAATGAGTACAGAATGATATATTATACAATAATTTTTATATACAAATTATACATGTTCATACTATATTTAATAATTATTTTAATATTCTGATAATTATGTATATCTCTTATGTTTTATCTAAAGAATTTAGATCAATACAGTCGTAACGATATCATAGCAAAATTGCCAAATGATGTGCAGTGTTGGTATGCACCGAAAAATTCATTTGTAGATGAGTTAATGCTGAAAGCCACAAAAATGCTTCATACAAATAGTAAGATAATATCTTAAACTCGCTTATATAAAAAAAAAGATTCAATAAAAGCTACATATTACATACCAGTTCAAGCAGCCGACAGTGAAATTGACCTTGTACATTCACGTTACGCAAAAAATGACACTTCTAAGGTACTGTGGGCAATATTTGAGATTGATAAGCTTGCAACTGGAAAGCCAAAGGTCTTAGAATATAAAATACGTTCATCTGAAATAGGTGAGAATCGAATGATTATGATGCACGAAGAAGAACCTGCTTATAAGGGTATCCTAAAAACACATTTTCATAAGTAAACGTTATAGTTATTGATCCTTATATTAATCCATAAATTAAAGTAAATTTTACGTTGAAACATATTTTGCTCTTAAAAACCATCATTTACATTAAATTTAAACCGCTTACATTTAAATTCAATTTATATTAAATACTAATTAATATCATACGTAGTTACAACAAAAGTATACAGTTACAAGTTTAATTTTTTATATAATATAATTGTACATAATATTTATTAAGCATAAATGACTAAAATATTCAATAAATTGTTTAACGATTCTTATCAAAGATCCATATATATTAAGTGGTTTTATGGCTCTACAAATTGCGATTGAGAAATCTTTTGTGGAGATGTGGACAAATCCGACGCTACCGAATATTGCTGATAATGTAAGTACTTGAAATAATAAAATTACAATAAAACTGATATCAGTAATAATTATAAGCAGAATGTAATAAAAAGCCGTTGATAAGGATAGGCTTCTTTGCAGTTAACTATCGGTCGATTTCCATTTTATAAAGTCAATTTTTTAATCTTACCGTATGTCATTCGACCTAACATAAGCGTAATTTATTACGTGATGGTTATTGCTTTCCTTATGCTGCCAGCAGCAACGTTAAAAAAGGCACTTCACGATAAAGAAACTGGATTCAGAGTGAGCTTCTGTTAAACAAAAATACATATATTAAGGGGTAACGCCACTCTAGAGCTCGAAAAAAAAGACATGTTTTTGATAATTTTTTACGGAGATACAATAAAGAAAATGGAAAATCTGTTTATAGGAGTGTATTATACATGTTCTGAAGCAAATAAAAAAATTTTTTAATTAACATTTTTAAACAAAATGGCGGCTACATAATACGAAACTCAAGACCACCTCTCGCTGAAAGGGCTTCACGGCCGGAAAAGTTTCTCCCACAATTTTCAATCCGGAACAAAAAACCAAAATTTTTTGTAAACTATATATAATTGGCTACAGAAGTACGTAGGGGATTTTGAAAATATTGAATTTTAAAAAAATAATGCTTATTTGAAGAAAAAATTCATTTTTCAGTAAAAAATTTCATCGTAAATTGTTTATAACAAAAAAAGTTGACAAAATATCAAAAAACTCCTACGTACTTCTGTGTAAAATCTAATTACAAAGCTACTGTTAAAATTTGAATTGAATCGTTCAAAAATTGTTCGAGTTATGTTTCCGGCCAACTTGAAAAACATTGTTTCGAGAAAAACGCGTTTAAAGTTTTAAGTACTAAAATAGTATAAATTTTTTTTATATACCTCTAGTCGGCAATGCCTGCACCATACATTTCACCTTCCAAATTCTCCTACTCTGCGTCTTTTCTGACCGATTTTAACAATACCCTGGCCTCTTTTGCCTTCTGCCACGAGTATCACGAATCTTTTTTTATTAATCGAGCGAAGGCAGTTTCGGTTTCGAAATAAGTACTTAAAAATTTTATCGCACTACGAGGTCAAGTGTACATTATTTTTAAGACTCTAAGGCATCATTTAAACAAAAAAAAATTTTTTTATTATTTTGAAAATTCTAGAGTGGCGTTACCCCTTAATTTTTTTGCATCTTTGTATAATGCCTATTGTTAATAAAAATTACTTTAGGGTCTTATGAGATTGACAAATATATCTTTCACAATGTTGTACATCGGATGGTTCAATTATTTTATGATCGTTTTGTTACCTGTTACGATCGTGTGCACAATCCTCCTGTTTCCTGTGTTTTCGGCTGCAAACGCATTAGTCATTGCTATATTTATTATGATGTACAATATACTCTCAATGTTCTTCATGTTCACCATCAGCACATTTTTCGATCATCGTAAGTCATTTAAATATGTGAGTAAAAGCAGAATTTATGCGAAAAAAAAACAAAAAAGTTAGTATCATTGGTAACTTATATGTATAGTTTTAAAGGATTAGGGAAAGAACCGAATTTATCTAATTTTTCCGGATTTTATCGGACTTTTTCAATTCTTTTCCCAAAGGTGGAAAAATTAATTGGAAAAATTCACGCTCGTAAAATATTTGTGCCATAGGGTACAACCGACAGTGGGGTAATTTAGATAAGTTAACAGAAATTATTTTGTGAAATGGTATTAAAGATTGCACATACTGTATTTTGTTAAACATATAAAATACATAAAACATAGGTTACGTTCAGCAGATAAAGTAGTTTTGCAATTGTTGTAAAGTTCTTAAACATGATTGGTTTTACATTTAGATCTTATAAGGGAAAGAACTAAGAGCAAGACCAATCAAATTAACAATTAAAGAATCTTACAACATAGTTACAAAGCTGATTTCTCTGCTAAACGTAGCCATAGTTTTATATTGAATCAAAATTGTATATTCTGTATGTTTGATTGAATACATTATGCTCCAATCTTTATATACAATTTCTGTTAATTTATCCAAATTACCTCTCTGTGCTTCATTTAACTGGAATTAAATAAAGTTATATCTCAGACAGCACAGAAGTTTGAAAAATGTAAATATATTTAAGTAAAAGAAAAACAAAAAAGAATTATACAAAATTAAAAATAAAATTAATACATTTTTTTAATTTAATTTTTTTTTTTAAATAAAATTTAATATATTTTGTAACGATTATTTAAATTAAAATGATCACATAAAATCTAAAATAAAAAGACAAAAAGAGTTATAAAATTTTATATAAACTTATCTTTACTCACAGTTTCAAGATCTAATGATTACATCTTTATAAACATGTTTTACTATAAAAATAGAAGGAAAACTAAAAATTTTAATAAAAATATGATTACATAATTTTCTGAATCACATTAATTTAATGAAGGACAAAAATGAAATAGTATGTCATTTAGATACTAAATAGCAATTTTTCCAAAAAAAAAAAAAAATTTTCCTGTTTTGTTTAAAAGTATAGTAACTTAATCCAATACTCTCACAGTAATATTAATATAAGTATTAATATAAGTATTTGTATATACAGCGTGTCTCTAAATTTCAGTATACGGAATACAAGAGACGTGATGTTTTATTCTAAAACAAACAACTTTTTCCTTTAGCAAAATTGCGGTATTCTTTCTTTAATTGTTACATGATTATCTAATAATAACATATAATAGATTATTCTTTTTTTTTTTTGTAATGTAAATTACTTTCCTGTAATGTGAATTAGAGTCTAGGATGATAGTTTATTTATAGAGAAATGCAAGGTTTAATAAGAATAATTCTTAAACCTTCTATCAAGTTATTTTAGTTAACTAACACATAAATAAATATATTGGATGCAAAAACATTGAAAAAATTGTAGCATTATAAGCACATATATCTATAATAATTTGAACAAGGCTTAACCCTTTCATTTTAATAATATGATCTTTTTAGAATATCACTTATTTTTTAGAGTTCAGATATATCAAAAATGTATATATTTACAAACTGACATTATATATTATTATTAGATAATTCAACACACATAGAGATATGAAAAGGCTAATCAGAGTCGTCCGCAAATCAAGAAACTTAATTATTAAAAATTTTACAAAGTAAACCATCTGATTAATTACATGTCATTGTACTTCCTGGACACTTTATAACATAATATTATAAATTATATCATAAATATTATATTATAAACATTATATTAATAAATATTGTATTATAAAGTGTTCCAGGAAATACAATGACATATGTAATTAATCAGATGGTTTACATTGATAAGGATCCAAACTAGGATCGAAACGTATGTACATTTCTACAATAAACAATTAAACACATATACAACTTTACATCAACACCCATTGTACTGACACGATTAGGCATTCTTATTACCTTTTAATTATTAAATATATACATAAATATATATATATATATATAAGAATAATTAATCAAAATATAACCTTAACACCATTATTATATCGTAATTTAGTCGTGTAATCTTACTTGATAAAAGCAGCGGTGTTCTTGCCGCACTGGAAATTGTTAATATCGCTGATTTTAAACCAATATCACAGAACAGGTTGTTAATTAAACCACAAGAATATAAACTATTACCTATACACCATAAACAATACACACGCACAAAAACAACATACGCTACTAACTAGCATTGACTAAACCTCGATTATGCTATCGAATAATCGATAATTTTTACTATCGAATATATTCGAGAGTTTCGGAAACTCATCCAATTAGAATTTGTAATCTAAATAGCAGAGGCCGCGAATCGCGGTGCCGCGGAATGTCATGACCGTATAGTATAAAGCCGCGGGCGACAAAGACGCTCAAAAAAGGACGACACATCGTAGAAATATATAAAATATATTTCCTTTCTGATGGCTTTCCGAAGATTTTCATCGAAAGACATGATAGTTTACAATTTTTTTTCCGGTAAAATTCTACTGTAACTTTACTAGCCTACATAAAGACATTAGGTACGCGATTAAGAACCCCTGTCGCACAGCCCTGGCAAGGGGTAACCTATATTGATTCTTGATCGCGCGACTGACACCCATAAATCAGTTACTTGGACTTGGAGTGACCTGAAAGGTATTACTAGAAGAGTAAATCATAATATTCTATCTATCGTTTTAGCATCTCCGTTCGTAGTAAAATTTAAGTTCACTTAATTAGCAATTACAACTCAGTCCGGTAATTAATGATATTTATTCCGCGAGTATGTAATAGTGGGTATATCTAATAATCAGGTTGAACTTTAGAATGATCGACAAAATAAACTTCGAGATCCAATATATATCCTTGCGCCCGGTAGCGATCACGTACACTTAAAAGCTTTCCGCGTGCACAGCTACCGTGTGGGATCGGCAAAAAATTAATATTAAATTTAATTATCTAATTAATCAAAAGTAATCGGAATAAAAAATTTTTATTATTTGATTAATCAAGTAATCGGAATAAAAATTTTTTAATTACCTGATTAATCAAGTAATCAGAATAAAAAATTTTTATTATTTGATTAATCAAGTAATCGGAAAATAAATCAAGTAATCGGAAAAAATTTTTATTATTTCATTAATCAAGTAATCAGAATAAAAATTTTTTTATTACCTGATTAATCAAGTAATCGGAATAAAAAATTTTTATTATTTGATTAATCAAGTAATCGAAATAAAATTTTTTTAATTACCCGACTAATCAAGTAATCGGAATAAAAAATTTTTATTATTTAATTAATCAAGTAATTGAAGTAAAATTTTTTTAATTACCTGATTAATGAAGTAATCGGAATAAATTTTTTTTAATTACCTAATTAATCAAGTATAATCGGAATAAAAAATTTTTATTATTTGATTAAGTAATCGAAATAAACATTTTTTAATTACCTGATTCATCAAATAATCGGAATAAAATATTTTTATTATTTGATTAATCGAGCAATCAAAATAAAATGTTTGAATTATTTGATTAATTAATTAATTGATTAATTAAAATAAATATTGCGAAAAATATCACTACGTCGACCCGCCATCAGAGGTCTATAGATATTCTCAAATTCTCGTAAGTGCTTTGACACGCGTATATTTCTTCATATAGTATCTCGACTTAACATCTCCCCAAGGCGTATAAGGTAGGCTTCCATTACAATGCCTTACTGATGAATCCAGTAATGGAAGCCGGGACGAAACGCTAAAAACTATGTGATATTTTTCGTAATATAAAGAATAAATTAAAGATCCAACTATATTTACGGAATTTTAAATTATTATCTTCATATTTAATTGTAATTAATCAAGTAAAAATCGATGATATTATAATACTACTGTAGTATTTATGCGTTATGTCTGAATGTTATCAGCGCGCAATTATGGGGGGACTACATATGTGGTATATAAAAATTCACGCATAATTATAATAATTTTGATCCAGCTTTGACCGTTATAAGCGGTAATTCTTTCCTCGGTTGTTTGACAATATACGATCATTACAAAATTATTTAATATTTATTAAAATAAATATATCTTATATTATAATACTTAAAATCGCAAGTAATAAAAAATTATTTTGTCATGATTACTTGATTAATAAATAGTTAATGTAAAATATTAATCTGTATTCAACAAATGTTGTAAGATTATTATTATATTATAGGTAAATGAGGAAGTGTAGGAATGAAATGAAATTAATAAATAACAATGAAAGTGTAAAATACAAGTTATTTTTATTGGTTAATGTCACTGGCTTAATTACAAAGCACTCTTTTTTCGAAATTTTGATCTGTAAGACAAAATTTTGAAAAAATTAAATTTCGCGATATCGAACATAGTAGCGAAACTAAATTTCGGTTTTGATAGCATTGGCGACAATGCAATGTTATTATAAAATACATTAGAAACTAATGCGTCTGACGTTGAATTTCAAGGTTTTTGCCAAGACAAAAGAAAGATTGTCAGTTTTACATGCCTACCCAAAAATAAAGGTAGCATTTATTAAATTTCGCTAGTATGTTCGACATCGCGAAAATTAATCGTCTTACATACGAAAATTTCGAAAAAAGAGTGCTTTGTAAAGCCAATAACATTAACAAATTTTACACTTCCATTGTTATTTACTAATTTCATTTTATTCCTACACTTCCTCATTTTCCTATAATATAATAATAATCTTACTACATTAATTGTAATATACTTGTTTTTTAATTACTTTAATTATTTACATTAATTATTTGCTAATCAAGCAATCATAACAAAATAATTTTTTATTACTTGCAATTTTAAGTATTATATACAAGATATATTTATTTTAATTAAACAATTAATTAAGTAATTGAAACATTTTATTTTAATTGCTCGATTAATCAAATAATGGAAAAGGTTTTTTCCGATTACTTGATTAATCAGGTAATTAAAACAGTTTTATTCCGATTACTTGATTAATCAAATAATAAAAATTTTTTATTCTGATTACTTGATTAATCAGGTAATTAAAAAATAATCATTAATTTATAATATATTAATCTTTTGCCGATCCCTGGCGGTAATTAGAAATGGAAAAGTTACTTTTAAAGTTTTAAGTTATTTTGTAACAATAAATTAAATCAATTAGCAGTTAACAATTACACAATTATTAACTGCTAATAATTATTTTTTATTTTATTTAATTGTTTGTAACAACATTGTAATTGTACTTTGTATTTGTTAATTGCAGTTTCTGAAAAGAGAAAATGTCGCGTAAGTATTAAACAATTTTTTGATGTATATTCTTCGGAAATATTTAATTTTTCATACATAAGATTAATGATATACTCGTATTTAGTTTTAGCGTTTCATTACTTCATTACATACCAAAGTTAGAATTTTATTGCACATTTCAATACGATTTCGTTTGCTTACTGTTTCTTTCTTGCCGCGCAGTATCTACCAACGAATCGCTGGTTACTTAAACAATGCTTATATAGTAAGAATGTTCCTGAAGCAACACGCCCGTCGTTTATAAGCACTCGGCGATTCGTTGCTAGCCATCACGCGGCAAGGTGAAAACAATAGGCGTCGCCAATAAAATCGAGCCGAAGTGTGCAAGTAAATGTCAGTCAGCTTTAATTGTGGCTAAGAAATTTATCTAATATATATTACTTAACATTTTTTTCCATGCACATTTGAAACGCACGTTAATTCGCATTTGACGCACATTTATGCGCGGTAATAGGTGCAAGGAAATCGTAGTGCATTGTAGAAGTTATGATTGAAATCAATGTTATCTTTCTTAATCATAATTAATAAAATTTAAATAAATAATATATGTATTAAAAGAACTTTCAGAAGAAGTTGAAAAAACGTTGTTAGAGGATGAGGATATGCCCTCATCCTCTAATACGGAGAAGTTGTTGCAGCAGTTACTGCTGCAACAACAGCAACAGCTGAAATTGCTGCAGCAGCAACAATCGCAGCAACAGCAACAGCTGGAACTGCTGCAGCAGCAACAGCCGCAGCAGCAACCGCAGCAGCAGCAGCCGCAGCATCAACAACCGCAGCCGCAGCAGCAACAACCGCAGCAGCAGGCGCAGCAGCAACAGCTGCAACAACAACAAAAAAGTAAATTATTTATATATTATTAAATCTTTCTCCTTTTTCTAATATATTTATTATTGCGATGTTTTTATACTTTCTTTAATTCTTTCAGTAAATCGACGAGGACAAGGACGTGGAGCTAGTCGTGCCAGATGGTACATGCGGCATTACAGTAATGTGTAAGTTAATTTTTTTTAACCAAATAAAACATTCTAACGAATTAGAGACGGTTTTTACGGAGAAATTTGAATCATATAATTATAACTGTGAGAAGTATTCAATCGCTACTACATAAAAATATCTGTATTTTGATTCACTAATATAACTATATCTCTTCCATCCAAATAGCAACGTTCTGAGTTTTTTAATTGGGTCCTTTCCGTCTCTAACCTGTTAAAATCCGAGGAGGACCGAAACATGTCATGTCATGATTTATGTATTATTCAACGCATTGCATAATTTTTTATATAGTTATATTACTGTATTAGCGCTGAATCAATTTTTAATTTTAGATGTTTGACTGTTATTAGCCTTTTACCTGTTTATTATCTATATTTTAAATTAAATAATGGTCACTAACGATTCATCTAATGCAGTAACTCCTATTAATTAAACATTTAGATGTTATAGTTCTTTTTAACAGATTCTTTTTAATTAAGATTTTTTTAAATTTTGGATAATAAATCTGAGAGCATTGGTAGTTACTAGTTCAATGAATGATGGTTAGATCACAGTAACAACATCAGTTATTAAAGAGCTATCAGCAACATTTTCAAAAAAGGAAGAGACAGTCTCTGAAAGAAGATTATCGTTCGTAATTACACAATTATTATAATAAATAAGTTTTGCTTGATATATACCAGAGTTTGCGTAAAGTTATCTGCGCTTAACTCCCAGTGCCCTTTTCTTTATATTCATTTCAGTGCCCAAGTTTATATTCATTTTAGTCTGTAACGAATATTAAATTGATTGTTTTTTTTGTCTCGCAACCCTATTTCTTTATTTTTTATTTAATTTATTTAAGCCATTTTATATTATGTATTTTAAATAAGATTAATACTATTTAATTTTGAATTTTTTTATTTAGACAAGGAAGAGGATCCGGAAGAGGAAACATTTTTATTAAAAAATATTATATCTAGATTAAAATATAAAATAAATTACACAAAGGAAATAAGCTGACTTAATTGTTTTATTTTGTTATTCCTATTCTATAATTAAAATTATAACAAGAAATATGTGCGTGCATATATATATATATATGTATAATACATTTATATATTTACACATATATGTATACATAGAATTACATGTTAATTCATAGGATAAGAAAGTGTCTTATAATTATAGGTTATTTAAAAACAGGTACAAAATTCTTAATAATTTAATATTTTCATCACAAGAGAAAAACGCATTATTTTGAAAATTATAATCTTGTATGTGTTTTTTATATGTATACATATAGTTTAGATATATATAACATTGTAAGTAAATAAAATACTCAATATCTTTTTCATTACGCGTGCACGTAATGTGCCCTCAATGCTTTTGCGTGCGGGAAATAGCCAATACCGTTGAGTTATTTCTCACGCAAAAGCATTACATTATGAAAAATAACGCAACGCAGTGGTAGCGCTCGTACAAATATCAACACGGAGAAACGCACCGACCAGACCGTCCTTTCGGAGCATCTGGGGGGTGTGAGGTAAGCATAGTTTTTTCTCCAATAATAAAAGTAACTACAACAAAACGACAATACAGTATCTATAAATATCATTCAACTTAAAATAACGTTTAAATTTAATTTCAAATTGTAATAATCTCACAATTATAATTAAAAGTAATGAGCAATACAAAATTTTGTATTGTTAAATATTTATTTACGAAATATTTTAATTTCTTTTTCTGGGGGGGGGGGGCTGCGAAACCCCCTGCTTCCTGCGCCCCACGCACCACCCCATATAAGTCGCACTCGCTTCGCTCGTGCGACTTTACGTTCACACTCGTTTCGCTCGTACGACTTTATATTCGCACTCGCTTCGCTCGTGCGACTTTATAATTGTATAACATATTACTAACACAGTGCACTCGTGATGAAAAAATCTATGTGCAACTCATGTGCTATAATTGTCTATAGCGCGCCCGCGTTGCACAATAAACAACTAATAGTACGGGAGGCCGAGAGGCTAAATGTGGATTTACTCGAGCGTCGTGGGGACCTATTGGATTGTGAAGATTAGATGCTAAAAAGAAAAAAAGGTTATATGATGTATGCCGTTTCAGTGATGGGGGAGCGTGTACAGGCTTTCAAAGAAAACAGTGACAATGCAATACTCGAAGCGTGTCAGATATTAATAGTGTAAGCGACCCATGTGTTTCTGATAACGGATAAATATTAATCTGACGGTTTACGTGGTGGGGTTAGCTGTAGGAAGGGGGAAAAAAAAAATTTCCAGAGCGCATCTCGAGCGCGTCAGATTTTTGAAATGTACGCTTTTCTACATGTAATTAACACACCATACCTTAATCTGACGCGCTCGAGTTTTCGAACGATCGATTTTTTTTATTTACTAATCCCCTGGACCCCCGGCTCTATATAGAGGTTTAATATTTGGTGGGGGTACTTATTATAGGGTGCAAGCTTTCCTTCTTTATGTTATTCTGACGCGCTCGAGTAAATCCCAAAATCCCCGGTTGGCCTCCCGTACTATAATACACACTTGTTATACAATGTACCTACTATTATTCATTAACACGATCGCGTATTACAAAACAAAATTATTAAATAAATGTAAAATATACATATGTTCTTCGGTGTATTATTACAGTATTAAACGATTCGTTTGCTGTTCTGCGATAAAATACTAATCGGATTTCACTCTGTTTTAAATAATTTAAAGTCAAATTGTTATTATATTAATATACAATTTAGTCCTACAAAATATTTAAAAAATGAAGAACTAAGTGCCAGTTATGTAATAAAGAACGTTTAATTCTTTAAATTTAATTCTTTAAAGAATGAAACGTTCCTTATTAGTATTACTTTCATTTTTAAAAAATTAAGTTATTTAAAACAAATGTTTTTAGTAAAAAAGATCATTTTTATTTCAAATAACTTTTTCAAAACTTATTTTATGTTTCTTGTTTTAAATATTCGTCGTGCCAGCCAGCAGTCGGAAGTATTTAAAATAATTTTATTTAAAATACACATTTCAAATAAATATATATACAAGGAGGGGCATTTAAAACAAGTCACCTGAATAACTCGCTTGTTTTTGACAATAGAAGAAAAAGTGTCAAACAAAAGTTGCTTGGTTTCGAGGAGCACATAATGTGATGTCAATAATTGTTTTTTTGGTGGAGGCGTTAAAAAGATATGAAGGTCACCTCCACTTTTTTGAATGGAATTATGTAATTTTTGTTAGATAACGTGATTCCTCTAATTATTTTGCATATAAAAGTATTAAGGTAGAAATACCAAAAAACTAATAGTTTTCGAGATATTTTACACTTTATTTTGATACATATTGACACAAAATGTTAAATAACTCGTAAACTGTTGACTTTTTGATTATCGTACCTTAATACTTTTGTGAACAGAATAATGAGATAAATCAAATGATGTAAAGAAAACACATAGGGTGCTTTAAAAAAAATATGTATACAAAATGGATAATTTTTTAAATACGCAACTGTGTTTTTTTTACACCATTTGATTTATCTCATTATTCTGTTTACAAAAGTATTAAAGTACGATAATAAAAAAAGTCAACAGTTTACGAGTTATTTAACATTTTGTGTCAATATATATCAAAATAAAGTGTAAAATATCTCGAAAACTATTGGTTTTTTGGTATCTCTACCTTAATACTTTTATATGCAAAATAATTAGAAGAATCACGTTATCTAAAAAAAATTACATAATTCCATTTAAAAAAGTAGAGTTGACCTTCATATCTTTTTAACGCCTCCACCAAAAAAACAATTATTGACATCACATTATGTGCCCCTCGAAACCAAGCAACTTTTGTTTGACACTTTTTCTTCTATTGTCAAAAACAAGCGAGTTATTCAGGTGACCTGTTTTAAATGCCCCTCCCTGTATTATATGTATTTAAATATGTAAAGAACAAAATAAGGCAGTTATTTAACATTTCTTATTTTAATTAATATTTTAAGTAAGTTTTTGGAATGTAAAATACAACGTTTAGTATTATCTTTAATAGTGTTTGTCACAAAAATACGTTTGAGAAAGAAATATTAAGATAGAGCGGTACAGCTATACCTATACTTACACCGAGCCGCGGTAATGGAACAGTAATGGAATGATGACTGCTCGGTTTATCGGTGAGCCGAGTGAGCGGGGATGTGCTACCCGCGTTCGCCCTTCCATGTCAAACAAGGCTGCTATCATTAACCGTAGAGAACCTCTAATTAACCGTCTAACGCGTCGAAATATACAAAATATAAATAGACATAAAGTCAAAAGCCCTCTATTGTCGAAAAAACGAGATGGACATTTCTCTTCTGGTCGACGATGACAATGATGAACAACAACATCATCAACAACATGAACAACATAATAATAACGACGACGTTTCTTAAAAATGAGGTGAAAATTCACAAAACCGAACTTTGCGTCGCGATATCTCCGCCGCGACGGCACGTAAAAAAAAAATAAAAGCACTTTTATTATACAATTTAAGTATTTTTTATCGATTGAGCGTATACCTATAGAAATTGATCAGTTCAACCGTTACTGAGATCTGATCATCTCAATCCCCCGAAATTCTCAGATTCGCGTAAAGGAGGCACGGCAGTGTCGCTGCGCTTGGCTTAGCGCCGAGACACTATTATACCGTGTCTCCAGATAACAAAGCCATATTTGCATCTTTAAATGTTACTTTTGAATAATAGCCGAGAGCATGCAAGTTAGGTGCACGCAGTAGCCCTGAGTGCCACGTAGACAAGAGCGGTCATATGGTATTTCAACCTGTTCTTCTGTAAAAATTACTTGTCGGGCGCAATTTTGTTAAAGGAAAAAGTTGTTTGTTTTAATATAAAATATTACGTCTTATACTCCGTATGCTGGAATTTAGAGACACCCTGTATATATATATATATGTATATACATATTTTTTATACGCAATTTTTATTACTAAAAATCTTAATCCCTGTGGTTGCACATCATTTTATTATAGCTACGAAAGCATTGCTTACATCGGTTTTGTTTTGGCTCTTTTTGACACACTTGACTATCGTACTGGATCAGTTTTTAATAAGAAAATCTATGTTGTGGAAGATTTGTTCACTGATTCTGCCGCATAGTGGTTTGCTTTATGGAATAGTAGCCTTCACGACCTACACAAATTTCGGTGAGTCAATCTGTTATTTGACTTAAATTTGAATAATCTAACAATTATTAAAAAGAAGATTAACTCAATTTTATTCATTTATTTTTGACAAATTTTATTTATAGTTACATTATTTATTCATATAATAAATATTTATTTGGATATATTTGCATATTTCTTGTTAGAAATAAAATCTTTTTCTCATTCATTATTTACAAATTTTTCCAATATGTGCAAAATCTAAATTATTAGCAAATATGCAAAACGAAGAATTATATAAGTTACGAAACGCACATTCCTCATGAACGAGTTATTCAAGCGTATAAATTACAAGCCAAAGTTGTATTTACTTGAATCACTTACTGATCATAACCTGACTGATTTTTTAACTAGCAATTTATGTTTTAAAATGCTGCTAGAAAAATAATACGTTTACTTTATTCCAGAGAAATATACATATTATATTTATACATACTTTACATTTATAATTATAATTAATATACATTATATATATGTATATAAATTATATATATTATAAGTTATAATGTATAAATTTTTATAATTATGTCCTTATGATTTAAAAAAAACTTAATAAAGATTCCACATGCATAATTACATTACATATCGTATAAATAATAAATAACATGCATTAGTGGTAAAGTATACATTATATCATTATAACTTTTATGCTAATAGGTGACTATAAAAGCGAAAATTTGAGAGACATCTGGCAACAAGTAAAACCGCGCAATTACATTGGTCCTACCTCGTATTTGTGGTCGCGATGGCTTTCTGAATTAATAACACTACGAGATGCCCACAATATTATTCACGTCGCAGAAAAAATTTCTGTTAGCTTGATTCTATTTGTTTGGATATTGCACATTATCTTTTGGTATTTACTAGCGGTGTACTTAGATAATGTTAACCCAGGAAAATTTGGCAGCGCAAAGCCCTGGTACTATTTATTCAAAGTAAATATTTTTTCAAAATAGGTTATAATTCTAATGTATTATTACTTTCTAAATTATCATATATAAGTAATATTAGTGCGTAGTATTCTATATAAATATAAATATAATATTTTTTTTATATAATATTATTTCTATATAAAATCAGATTCATATTTTATATTTTCGGAAACATAATTTAATTTATGGAACTTTCATAAATAGTAAATATAAGTACATATTTTAGAAATCTGTATATGATGACGATGATTTAATTATCCGAGGATCAACTAACTGGTCAGCTGTAGAGCATACACCATCATACATAAAGGTACAAACGATATTAAAATCTAAAATCTGATCATACACAGTCTTAAGATTCTATTCAGCTAATGAAATAACTATACAGCGTCTCGAGATTGTATTTAAAACGATCTTAAATGTAAGATCAGACTATAAATACTGCTATGTCTTTCAAATATACACATACAAATATTCTAATAATATCGATTTAAACTAACTATATGTACAAGATAAAAATTATGCACCATACATATAATTTTTATGATTATATAATGTCATTTATGATTATAGCATTATAATTTAACATTATGCTTCTTCATATTGTGAATACGAAATCAAACTGTTTTAGAAAGCATTTATGTTTTAAATAATTTAAAAGCAGTATTATGCATTACATAAAAGCAACACAACAATAAAAACATCTTACATTTACATCACATCATTTTTAAGAGATTTATTTAGAGATTTATTTATAAGCAATTATTATTATTATTATGTATTGTACTTTGTCATTTGAGTCCAAACTGAAAATAATTCTTATATGACATTAATAATTATTTATATCTTAATTAGCTATTTATCTTAGCTAAATCTTTGTATAATGTAAACAACAGCCATCTATTCGAGTGAGATGTGTTAGAAAGGATTTTGGTAGGATTGGCGAACGTATTACAGCTATAAACGATGTAACAATCGATTTTTATAATCAAGAATTCAGTGTCATTCTGGGTCACAATGGTTCCGGCAAAAGTTGTTTGTTAAAGATAATTATCGGTATAATAAAAAATTAATTTACATTATTGACTTTAGCCTTCGAGGGTATTGACGAAATTTGTTACGTGTAATAGGAATGTACAAACCAACTCATGGCCACGTTTACTTGGAAAATGAAAGTTCTATATATCCGATTGGTTATTGTCCGCAAGAAAATATATTGGTAAATTACTTGACGATGATTCAACATCTCTATATATTTGGTATGGTAAATATCCTTTGTTATTAAAAAATCATAGCGATTATTAATTTTTTACGAATAATATCAAGCATAATGACTCCAATCTAAAATTAATATTTTAATACTGTAATTAAAATTGTTATTAATATATAAAATATTAAGTAATGTAGATTTTTCAAATTAAAATCTAAGTTTTTATATAATATAACGTCGGTTAAATTTATACAAAAAATTGTTGAATAAGCATATCGATCTAAATAAGAACCAGTTTGCTAATAGTATGTTTCTAATTGCTTAATCTGATATCGGAAAACAAACTGTTTGTCTTTCTCTTACCTACTAGGATTACCTACTAATTTACCATTCACTATTAAATGAGATGGAGAGAAAAACATAATAACGCATTTGCTTAACTAAAAATTATATAAAATTTAATAATGGCGCAACATATTTCAACACACATTACATGTACAGATTTGGATAATACTCAAGTTATCACATGAATGATATATACATAATATATATAAATTTATTAACAGCAGTTCTCATTTATTGTTATTTATTTAACATATGTCTTGTATTTTACATACAAAATGTTAAATATTAAATAAGTAATTATTTTAAAATAAAAGTAATTATAATAAGGCTCAATACTTATACTAATTAATTTTAATTCTTTAAAAACATTAATTTTTCTATCGCAATCCAAATAATTCTTCAATTACGAGAGCAAGTCAATAAGTTCTTAGAAAATCTGTCAGAAGGCACTCGCAGTGTCATATGTCACATTACTTTGACAAGTAGCATCTTTCAGCTGATTATTGTCAAATTTTGAGCAGAATTCATCGAGAGGTTTCACTTCTGTAGACGATTAAAGCAAACAAAACCTTTGTATTTTTTGCAAAATGGAAAAAAAACGAGATTTCGTGCAGTGACCAACATCTATATATGAAAGATTTAACGCCGAAAGGAATCAAAGCCGAGTTGGATAATGTTCATAGCTCATCTGCACCAGCGTTTGTTACTGTAATAATTGGATGAATGAATTTAAACGTGGTCGTACATCCACATGTGATGCACCTCGTTCGGGACGTTCAATTGAGGCTGTTATGCAAGAAATCATCAATAAAGTCCACATTGTTTTGACTGATCGACGAGTGAAAGTGCGCGAGCTTGTTGAGGCATATCACATGGTACAGTAATTTCAATTTTGCACGAACAATTGGGTATGAAAGAGCTATCGGCAAGATGGGTGCCGCGTTTGCTCACTGTAGACCATAAGCTCGACCGTGTGACGATTTCAAAACAATGTTTGGAGATATTTCAACGTAATCCAGATGAATTTCTGCATCGATTCATTACTGTGGACGAAACATGGATCCATTACTTCATACCCGAGACGAAGGAACAGTCAAAACAATAGACTTTACCGGATGAACCAGCTCCGAAGTAAGCGACCGTGAAGTCGGCCGGAAAGGTGATGGCCACAGTTTTTTGAGATGCACGCGGTATAATTCATATCGATTACCTTCCGTCGAAGCAAACGATTAATGGCAATTACTACGCAGCCTTATTGGACCATTTCAACAACATTTTAAAGAAAAAACGTCCCCATTTAGCGACCGGCACCGATGGACAAAAATTCAACGAATTCTGCTACGAATTACTTCCGTATCCAGCATATTCGCCAGATTTAGCCTCCTGCGACTATTTCCTGTTTCCAAACCTGAAGAATAAGAGATTCACCACTAGAGAGCAGCTCATCGCTGAAAGAGGCTTATTTTGAAGAATTGGACAAATCATATTATTCAAACGGCTTGAAAAAGTTGGAGAATCATTGGATTAAGTGTATCGAGCTGAAAGGAGACTATGTTGAGAAAGAAAAATAAATCGATCAAAAAAAATGTGTTTTACTATGTTTTTCTAAAAACTTATTGATTTGCTCTCATATTAAACAAATATTTCTATCAGAACTATTGTATTATTAATTTTTATTTATGCTCAAATATATACTTAAAACAATTATATTTACATGATCAATGCATCGACATCATCAAAACTATTGTTAGAACTTTGATTAGGTCGAAAGAAATTTTAAAAGTGTTAAAAAAATGTGTTCAATAAAGCAATTCTTATTTCTAGATAAAAGGAATGACTTATGAGGATGCTTATAGAGAATCGTTAAAACTGTTAAAGCAGTTGGATTTAGAGTATGTAAAGGATACAAAAATAAAATTTTGCTCCTTTGGTACGCAAAGAAGAATTTGTTTAGCAATGGCACTTATCGGTAATAGTAAGGTACACTATTTTTTTATTGATATAAATTTAAATTATAATTAATAAAGAAAAACAGGGCTACGAACCAATAAAGTTAAAATCTTTTTAAATTAATCTAATATATTGCGAAGAATATCACGTAATTATGGCGTTTCGTCCCAGCTTCCACTACTGGACTCATCAGTAAGGCATTGTAGTGCAGGAAGCCTACCTTAGACGCCTGGAAAAGTTCAACTTAAAAATTTAAACCTTTTTATGTAATAATGATATATTACCATGAAAAGTAACTGATATATTATTAATTAAAGGTACCAGTACAAAGTGAACATTCATAAATTGTATGTAACTTTCGGCTGATTTTCGAATCGTCTCTGCCTTCCGCTGCCCCCTCACCTCACCGTGCGCGGTCCAAATGCCGCACGATGCTCGAGCGACATTTGATCTGCGCGCGGTGAGATGAGGGGGCAGCGGAAGGCAGAGACGATTCGAAAATCAGCCGAAAGTTACATACAATTTATGAATGTTCACTTTGTACTGGTACCTTTAATTAATAATATATCAGTTACTTTTCATGGTAATATATCATTATTACATAAAAAGGTTTAAATTTTTAAGTATCCTTTGAACATGGCTTGAACTTTTCATTTTTATGATATGATTTTGTTGCGATATCATTTACTTTTCAGAGTACGAATATGTCACAAATATATAAAAAAATGATTTAAAAATATTATATAACGATAGAGAGTTAA